TTTATGTATAGTACCAAAGCTTCAAACCATGCTCTACATGTGCATATTACATTCATCATGCAGTCTGAACCCCCCCCCCCCCCCATTAATTGACAAAAACCTTGTTGATGACCGGGTAATTACAAGTTCAACAACATATATCTAATGAAAGCACAAAGAATTATAATCTGTCAATGTTAGTGCCTTGTAAAGTGTAATTTGCCGAACAAAATTAGAAGTCATTTCTGAGGTAGTGCCATGACCGCGCGCATGCCTTACCCGTTATTAAAGACGAGGCGCGCGTGCATTTGGTAGCCCTAGTGGTCGAAGGAGCCTGGAGTGGGTGCGTATTGCCTGAGCGCGACTCGCACTAGCCTGGTGCCACTGCAGAAAATGGCAGTCGGTAGAGCAGTGCGTATGAGTGAATGTTGGAACATGACCTGATTTGTGTTTCAGTTGTACCAATATATTATCACTGTTTCTATATTTACTGACAGGATTTGTATATTTGTGTTGTGTGTCATTGTAAAATCCCTGCGCCTAATATCAAAATGGTCGTTTTCTTTTGTTATGTATTCTTTTTAATGGTGTGTGTTTGGGTGAGTATTTACATTATTGAACACCTTTACATTATTTTTAGTTGTGGGGACATACGTGTACGCTCGTCGTCACAACATATTTGTGGCGACCGAAAACGCTGTGGGGACAGCAGAAAGTCCCCACGACTTGGTCTTAATTTGCCTAACAATAAAAAACTTCCCCATAACGCGGTGTAGGCCTGCCTGTAAACACCGGCAATCGTGGGCCTAGGGCAAAAGGTTTAGGGCACGAACAGTACGTCCACGATTGACCAATAGTCTACGATTGAAATTCGTGTACAAAACCAATGAGAGCTGTTGCTAAAAATTTAAAGAACAAACAAAGGAATGACGATTAGCGACAATAGGGGGCACTATGACGTGCGAACACCTTGCACGCGTAGACTGCGAGTGCACTTGCGCAGTTTGTTTACTTGGACCAAGCTATGGCATTTCCAAGCCATTGCTAAGACTGTGACTTATGACCTATCCTGATCAGTATACAGAGTGCGCTCTCTAGTTGTTTAAAATATAACTATGTTTAAAAAATCTGTGACATTTATTTTCAGTTTAAAAGACAGAATATTAAAAAGTGTTTGGTAAACTGAAACAAAGGTTGTTTGCTTTGAAATGTTGTGTGCATTGCTTACCTGTGTGAAAAGATTCCTTGCTAACTTTTTTTGGTGTGGTCTTGCTGTAGGGCACAGGATTCATGATCGTGAGATTGTGGGTTCGAGCCCCGCCGTGGCCATGCGTGTTGTGCCCTTGAGTAAGGCGCTTTACCTCAATTACTCCTCTCAACCCAGGTGTTAACAGACTCGCTGTGGAGGAGGTTCGGCGATCCCCCCACACCAGTATTTCATGGACTTGAGTCTGGCCCAATCGCTTCGAAAGAGAGATGAGCACTCCGTTCCTGTGAACACAGGTTTGTCCCCCCCCCCTTTATTTGAAATGGTTATAGGGGCAGCACTCATGGCTGTTATGCTCATGAAGACCAAGTAGCAGACTGAAACACAGCTTCACATGGAAAGACCTTCCTTCCTCCCTACTCCCTAGCCCCTGTTTTTGTTTAGATACTTACTGTGAAGTATTTATTTGATTTGTCAGTTGTTGTTGTTGTTGTTGTTTGTTGTGTTTGTTTAGTTACTCCCCCTCCATTTGCCACTCTTTTCCTTTTTAACTGACATGTATACCCTTAACCCTGCAATCCCAACCTACAATCCCGGCCAAAATGGTTGGGACACTTGGAAATAACCTTAGCCTCCAACGGTCACCAACTCCCCCGCTCCATGTTGTTCTCTTCAGGGGATGGAGCCCACACCGCGCAATGAGAGACAACATTGAGCGGTGGGGGGTCCCAGCGAGATTTGGCCAGGATTGTAGCTACCCCACATCGTATTTAGTTATAAATATTGCTTTTAATGTGTTTGTTTGAAACTTCATACATTGTACATTAAGAGACTGTACATGTATATCATGATTAATGTTTTAATTGCAGCAACTTCGATGAGGATGCGTACAATATTTAAATCCAATAGAAGCAAACCATGAACAACAGCATTTTAGGCCTGCCTTTTCCCAACCAAAAGCAGTTTTCAAGGCTGAAATTCACACTGCGACGACGATCTCACTGGCTGCGTTGTGTTTGCAAATAGTCTAGTCCTTCCATTACAGAGTCAAACAAGATGCAAGACGTGATGCATTTAAGACACAGTTTTGCCGCAGTCTGTTAAGAGGGTTAATCTGCAGATGCTGCGCGATAACGCCAATCCCGCCGGGAATCCGTCTAAAAGCATGTTCGTCTCCAAGGCTGATAAAGTGAAACAGCATTAGGGAGAAGAGATGGTAGAGATAGTGGGGTATGGCTTATGCTAGTCAGCCTACTCTTCCATGCACCACCGTCATTGCAAGGGGGAATTACTGTTTGAAAAAAGGCCTGTTCAATATCAAGCAGCGTTTGTTTTGCTGGTTTGAGTATTAGCATGGACGCTTGAAAGATAGAAGGATTGTGGAGGATATTACCTGTATAATGGTACTCAAGTAGGAGTTGAATGTCAAGTGTGGATTCTGTGAGATGTAACAAATAACCAAAGTGAGTATCAAACATAAGGGTAGACAAAAAAACAACACCTTTACACGTGGTTCAAATGACATGCATCAAGAACATTACATTTGTAAAACATGTATCACATCTAATTATCTGTTTGCCGATCACATCTATCAAATGTTGTCGATTGTTATTTATATCAGGCTTCCAGCGGTAAAAGAAAATCAGCGTATTGCATGCTTTCATAAAAAGTACCCGATGACTGCAATATTATGGTACCCGGTTGACTGCATAATAATATTATTATTGCAGTCATCCGGGCATTTTGCTGGTTCCCACATGATGGCAAAGAGCATAGAAAGTCACAGTTGTTAACCACTCAACAGAGCGTATATAGCGCGCGCGTTTCGTCGAACATGCAACACGCTGCGCGCATGCAGCAAGAAGAAGGCCAGGTTGTCAACAACGCGCACTGTTGTCAACAATTACAGTAGCTTCAAATAGTTTGACGAAAAAGATGAAATGAAGACAGTGTCTTAAATTGTATTTCTTGCGGATCAAGTCAGCCTGATATAAATAATAATAAGAATATTGGATGGCTTTTTTTTCAGTGGATACAAGAATATATTGCACGAGCTATGACAATATTGCACGAGTCTTTGACTCGTGCAATATTGTCACAGGGAGTGCAATATATTCTTGTATCCACCTCAAAGCCATCCAAAATTATATAATTATATTTGATCAAGGGAACAAGAAATAACAGCCCCGTGCTGGCACAGACATGATGTTATACTCTATTCCTTCATACATGTACTTCAACTTTGCACTATTCCAATCCCACATCTCCACTGTTCACGCTTTTCAAACCTGACAGATAAAAATAAATACAGTGAACAAAAAAACACACCTTCAAGGGTAATACTCTGTCATATATGAGGCACATTTCAAGAACTTTTTTTATCATTTAGGCTAAGGGTAAAAACATAACCCAACTTTGTCTTCAGTGACCTCCTTTTTTTCTTTGGGGGACTACATTTGCACACACATCACTGCACATAAATATTTATATGACAAACTGTCCATTTTGGCTGAATATCTCTCACTGCCTAGTCCCTAATCGTAGACCCTTAGGGTCAATACAAAACATACAAACAAGACAGAATTATAACAATTCACCAAGCCGGGACAAGTTGATGATTTCCTTCTGTTGCTTAAAATGGAGTTGGGGGAGTGACAGGACCGAAGAGTTCAAATTCTTGGCTTGTGCGCTGTCTATCAAACTAACCAGCTGGTTTATCAGAAGATGTCAGGGGCATTTTATTCCCCGAGTCTGCTAGAATCTTGTTGGAAGTTTCTCCTATCACAGCTTTGTTGAGGTTGACTATTTCATGATCAAATCCATTTAGTGGGCTTGACTAAATTGAAGAGATTTGAAGAGATGTGATGGTAGTTTCAAATATTGGCCTAGCTAGTGTTTTATGTTTGCTGGTTTACTGTTGGTGGCTTGGTGCCAAACAAAACATCTTAATACTGCCTTCCTCAATGTTACAGAATAATAAGCCTATGCTTTTATTGCATTACGGCAAAAAGGATTTGCTATTTGACAGTGATGCCCCACTACAGTGAGATCAAAATGCATACATATACACATCATGCATAGAAGTACTGCATGGTAAAGTTGTATCATTAATAATAATATTCATGAAGAATGACAAAGCTGTGTTAGTTGTCTGAGAACGGTTGAACCATAGACCTTTCTCTCATGAATGTTAAATGTATGTCAATATCATTCTGTTCACACGTCATACATGTAGTAGGCCTACTACATGTACATGTGCCACATAGTTCATATACATGTACTGCAATGTACATGTAATAATCCACTGACACACACTGCAGTGGTGACAAGACTCAGTCATTTAATCAATAGGTGAAATTTTGATTCGGAAATATTTTAGAATGTTCAAAACATGAACTTCATTTCTATAAGGAAATGATACGAACATTTCTGTTCTTCCCTATTCAAAAAAATTGAACTCAGCGAATGAATCATTCTGTGGTTGACAATTAGCCAAGTACCAATACTTTGACATGTCTTGGCTCACACTCCATTGTGGGGAGGTTTCAGTTGTGAGGACCGTTACTTTCAAGTGGTTGCCCAAAGTTTTTGATCCCCCCAAAACCTATCACACAACTAGTGTTTGGGTCCCACTGTATGAAATAATTACAATTGTGTGGGCCACTTACATACATACCGGTAGTACACAGTGTCATTGTATGCAAATGACAAAAATCTAACATTTCTTTTTTTTACCCCAAGTTTCTTTGTTCGTCATTATTTAAAAAGTCCATTTTCCTGGTGGTTTAAATGATGGTACAGTCAAAGAGCTTACCGTTATTCAACTTCCATGTACTCTGCATCAGTACACCTAACCTTTTCCAAAATCCATACATTGTTACTGTAACTTCATCAAGTGCAAACAGAGGTACCCCAGAAGCAAGGGTAGAACAAGTGGGTCCCTATGTGCTCCTCCTGAATTCTATCACCTCTTGCCACAGCCAGCCCTGAATCAACACGGGAGGTTCTTAGCACAGGTCAGAGGACAGTAGCCCGTCATTCATCCAGACCCAGCAACCCAGGCATACTTGTATCCTTCAGGGTGTGATTGCGGACAGCCCAAGAATAATAGCAGAAATTCATTAACCATGAACTCCCTGGCTTCTGAAAATAAATTGTACAAGTGGCCTGAGGGAGAGAGTGGTGATCAGGCAGACAGTTGTGTGAGTAAATACAGGGGGAAGGGACAATGACATGCGTATGTGGGACTGGTTCGATCAACAAAGCACCAGTTGGGAACAACCAGAGTCTTCAGTTAGCATCCTCACTAGAAAGGTACACACATACATGTATGTACACTGTACATATGTACACATAGTGAGTATGATAAACAAAGGTCTGAATACTGTATGCTTAGCTCCATGGTCAGACTCGGAAGCACTGATTTTGCAATCAACTGAAAATAAGACTGACAAAGCAGACAAGTAGTCCATGGGCCTGGACCCCAAAATTCACCCACTGGTGCCATCCAAGGTGGCAAAATCTAGCTACTATTTTTAAATTGCTATACATCCCTAGTATATATTTGGACATAATAGCAGCATGGTGGGTTATCACGTCCTCAGCTTAATGATCAGACCTCCACAGCAGGCAGCAGGTTTTATCTTCTGCAGGCTGGCCAAGTCATTTACTGTAATGCGCATGCGTGGATTCACGTACATGTAAGTGAATTTTCTTTCTTAAATTGTGTTTAATCAAGTCCCTTACTGATCGTTGAAATAAATGTCACTTTTCCCCCTCATACGTGGCTGCGGAGGATTGTTTGTAAGGGATGTTAAATCCCAGAATCATTCCACAACTGGCGCATGCGCATTATGTGAATTTGACTACACTTGGTTGCAGAAAAATAATTGCCAGCAGGCAAACATTTCCCCCGTAAAACATTCATCGAATTAATTTTTTTTTAACTACAACATCTCAGTAGTGATTAATCCCCCCACTGAATTTTTTGTAATAGCCTGGAACACTTAAGCTGATGGGCATGAAATCTGGTGACTCTTCTTAACTTTTATCTGGGGGGGGGGGGGTTCAATATGGTACCAAAACAAATTCCGTAGGATGTCCATGGCAACCAATTCAGCCTAACACCAGTAATCATTAAATTTGCCCTTTTGTATAAAAGGTTAATTCCGGATACAAGTTGCGAACTCATGAATTTCAAAGTACATTTTCTACATGTAAATCATTTTTTTTCTTGGAAAGTAGACAAACAAAGCTTTCAGAAACAGTATTTGCTTTTCTTCTACTGCACTTGGATTTATTTCTATGGCTTGAAGTTTCGAGAAACAGAAGTAGCGTTTTTCTCTATTTTGTGATGGAAATTTGAGTTCCCCTCTGTTACAGTTCTTATGCTTCAAAGATTTTATTTTTGGTTGACTATGAAGTCTGATGCCGTCCCTATCCACTACTGAAGAATTTTAAACCAAAAGATGAAACATGACAGTCTTCACTGATAATTGGCTGAAAGCGATTAACTTTAAAAGGAAAAAAAACAACATTAAACTTCCCAGGGGAACAGATAGCTTTTTCCAGTGAAAGTCGTTTTCAAAATATGGAGTGTAATTTCCGTCCCGTCTGTCACGCTGATTTACGGCTGATTTGACTTTGTCACTATACAGACACTGAATCCTCTAGTTTCATGGACTGATTTTTAGTTTGAAATATAGAGTGTTTACGTTGACTTTCTACATAACTTAGATAGTTAAACCTTACATATTGGTTGTGGCAGGCCTTTGAAAAAAAGAGGTAGTGAAAATCTGTCTGTCAGTCATGCCGGAATTGGCCAAAAACGTTGACACTTTTGTGGGTCCAAAGCTAACTTATATACAATAACTGCTATCAGTAGCTCTCTCAATTTACAATGTGATGATATTGTGCCATTCCTCACAAATGTTACATTTGATTCACAAAGTCTATCTTGAGCACAGAGCACAATGGTTGTCACTCTGTCTCAAAAGACTAGCAATTTTCTGTCTTTTGTGACCAAGAAAAACTCTCCTTGTTCAACAGTGAATGGCAAGAAAGGGAACGCAATGGTGGCACAATGACAACAATCTGCCGAATAATAAAACGCAGCCTGTGGGCAGTACAATATCTCTCTATCTATTGGATCAGCACCAGCTAGCCGTACCTAATCCCAATCAGACGGCCACAGAAGACAGGGAGCGACGATACCGCTCCGAGCATCCTGCAGCAGAGACCCTAATCCTGTTAGATCATAGACGTATCTTGTATGAGGACAGAAGAAAAAAAGAGAGCGATGGGGAGAGAGAGAGAGACAGGAAAAAAAAAAGTGTCATCACAGAAATTGATGGGTGTTTGTTGGCCTGCTGTCAATGTACAATATAAGGAGAAAGGCTGGTGGGGAAGAGGGACGGAGTAAAAGGATTACTCCAGCATGTACCATCGGCCATTTAGCAGGCTAGTAATCTCGTAAAAACTAGGAACATCTCTCGCTATCAGATTGTTGGGTAAATTACACGTTAAAGCCTTGTAACCCATGTGATCTTATTAGAAAAGGGGGAGCTGATGGAGTGATACTATGTATAAGAGCTGCACAGGCCAGTGGTTCATTTCGTGTAGCAGCGCAATAATCAAGTCGGAGGTAAAAGTGCACGGGAGAATGTGTGCTGTGATGCAGGGTTTCATTCAGCATTGCCTTGCTTGGTGGCCGTTTCCTGGGCTTTTCATCTCTAGACTCCTAATGAACCAGTGGATATCCAGTGGGGTGGATAACAGGGACAGTATTCAATCTTGCAATGCCCATCAGGGCTAGGATCGCAAAGGCAGGAGTTATTAGTACCACTCATCTGGGCTGGTTCAAAAACAGAAAAAAAACCTCAAATTGGATTGCTTCTTCCTCTACACATTGTCAAAAGCCTTTGCTTTAATTTTTCATTTGCCAAATCATCAATTATTTTTCATCTTGTGCCAGAGGTATCCCGTCAGGGCATGTGCACAATGCAAACTTGTTCTTCCGTGCTCCCCAATCCCATGGATAGGTTTTAATTTGGAAAATGCACTCAAGGGAGGACGCAAATTTAGTGGATTGGTTTTAATGCCGCAGAATGGCGTTGCAAAACTGATAATGAGATGTTTTACTGGTGGCTGGTTGTTAAAAACAAGCTGTACGGGAATCGACAAAGCCGCACTCGTCTTTTCTTCAGGCTTTGGGACGGGATGTTCCTCTATGGTGCTGGGAGGATCCTAGAAGCCTAGGGCATGTTTGGACATGATCAAAGATTTCATTTTGTTGTACTGTTTACTCTCAAAAGTAATTGGTTTCATGACAAAAACCCTACATGATCAAACTGAATAACCAAAGTTGACCCACATCTGTTGAAGTAACCAGGGATATGCTCATCTACATTGAGGTAATGATTCAGTACAGGATGTGGCCTACCACGGTGTGGCATGAAGAGTGGATTTGTGGAGAGTGGATTTGTGAAGAGTGGATTTGTGGAGAGTGGATTTGTGAAGAGTGGATTTGTGGGAAATGGAAGGTTTTTTTGCAAACAGTCTTCATGGGAAATATTAAAATACACAGTGAGTTGGTCTGTTTACATACTGTGCAACATTCCTTTTCCAGAGAAAATGTGACTGGGGAAATGCTAGAGAGATAATGAAAAACACTTATACACCATAGAAGTAAAACCCAATTACTCATTAATCACCTTAATTGTTTTAACACATTGAAATGCTTTAATTGATGTGCTTTCGAACATATTCATGTGGAATTTGCGCAATATACATGTTAATGAATAAATTATTATTATTATAATTATTGAACAAACGTTAGTAAAGGCTAACTTTTATATGGAAAGAATCAACTTGAGCTTGAAACTGAGAAACCCTGAATCAAACAAACTTGAAAATAAGGCAATTAAATTCATATCAAGGGAGGGCGCTGTTCAGATTTAACTGACTAAATCCAAGTTCATACATGCACTTTCCATGTGAAACAAGATTTTATACATTATCTGGCCCAACATATCAGAATGGCATGATGTATTACATGTGATGCATTATGTATTTATTTTAAATTTCACTTTCATCATTAATTCACTGTACAGGTGGATGTACTTTCAGGAGTTGCTAACTGATCTGAAGTCAAGTGGTGCTTGTAGACTTAACTTTCTGCTTGAATAAAAACTTCCAAAGCCACGTGTATATTGTACGTTCCATGAGACAATCTCCACATGAGACAAATACAAATATAACAAAACTAGGACAACTAAATAGTTAACATCCATGAATTACACTGCCAGCAAGATGAAATCTATTTTCATAGGAGCCAGTTCCTACTTTGGGCAGAAAGCTGACAAGAAGTTATTGCTTCTATAACATTATGACACACTTAATGCATAAATACATTTATCTGTAGAGGGGAAGGAGACTTAAAGGGAATATACCGGTATGCCTACAACATAAATTTTCAAACATCAAAAAAAAAAAAAAAAAAAAAATAAAATAAAAAGTGCATGACAGTCTAAAGCGTCCTGTAAAATCATGGCATCTGGTGTGCTGACATTTTCGAGAAAACCAGCGTTGGGAAAAAACCCCAAAATTACACACATTTATCTTTAAAGGTACTGATTGAAGGAGAGGTTGTTTTTTTATATTAGTAGATCTAACAATTAACTTTATGAAGGTAACACATTTAAATAGGGGCAAAAAAAATAAAGGGGTGCATCCAGATTTTTGGTCTCGGGAAGGAGGCAAAATTAGTTTTGACACACTGGTACTATCATTTTCAAATACGAATCGGTTTGATTCAGACAAGCTTCTGAACTGACTGAGTTCCTGCACAGAGGCAACCCCAACCCCTAAACAAATGAAAACAAAACTTGAAAAGTACCTCATTTACTTGCTCTCCAAAGCTATTTTAGTGAATTGATCTACAGGCACACACACAAATACACAGCACCCCCCCCCCCCCTCGCGGAAAAAAACTCACAAGATTTGAAATGAAGCTTTAATTTGGCAACAGGCAGGTACTCTAGTGATGTGTATACAACACTGAAACACTTTCTCCCTCATCCCTTTTGTCTCTATTTCATTGGATCTGTATTAATTATAGGCAAACCAAGATATCATGGATGACTTGCCCTGGAGCTTGCAAACCATTAACAGGGTACGTATTGTCTAACCAGCGTGTTGGGGGGGGGGGGGGGGCTTATGCTGCTAGGGGCTGCTGCCCCCCCCCCCCCCATCTCTTAACCTAATTATATCTGCATAAATATGACCCTGGTTAAAATATGGGCGAATTTGGACTGCTCTGATATTCAGGGGGAAAAAAAGGGGACATAATTATGGCTGCCGACAAAAAGTACTGATCTTTAGCTTACAATGTAGCTTGATTTTTGACAAGCAATCCATCATGGGAACTTCCTTCCTGATTTCAGCTCAGAAATGGCCCCAAACAGGTTTCTGATCTCCGTTGATGCCGCGATACATCAATTTTTTTTTTAATGGGGGTCTTTTTGCCCCCTTCTTTTTCTTGTTAATGCCGGTCTAATTACTTGCTCGGATGGTTTGGCGGCAGTGCAAATGTTTCCGGCCTCGGGGGCACCTGGCTAACAGGTTGGGCCCCCTGCACTATTACTACAGAGTAGTGTATTATAGGTACCGGTATATGCATTTTAATTATTGCCATATTAATTCACCATTATTTAAAATAAAT